GGGCAGGCCTTGTGCACACACGTGTAAGCCCGATCAGACGCAAGTGGCCTACATGGGTGTCTGCAGCGCCTGTGCTCAGTCCAAGTGTTTGAATGACTGAGTTTCCGCCTCACTTCAATATAGATTCCAAGAGTATAGGGAGCGCGTGTGCCTGTCTGCACGCCCGAGGGGAGAACTTCCCAAATTCCCATACCCAGTGGGAAACGAACGTATCTGCGAGTGGGACATCGACCGAGCTTGAGAGCGCATTCCACACCACCCAGAATTTCCCGACTCGTACACGTGTCACCTTGTCGTGGAACCAGGGGTAATTATTCTGGAACCTGACTTCCCTCCCTACCACCGCATACTGCCCTTCCATTCGCTGACTATTATCCCTAACGTGCAATCGCTCCGTACTGGCCCCAACCCCCGTGCTCGGAGTGCTTGCAAGACAACGAGTACTGAGCCTTTGGTTTCATCCGACGAACTCGCTCGAAGGAAGAACGACGGGCACACAGCCTTCGGCTAAGACCAGCCGCGTCGGATTCTGAGACCAGCGATGCACGACGCCAACAAGTGGTCAGACAGTGCGACAACCATAGCGTCCCGACTGTGCACCAAGTACGAGTCCGACCCAGACGACGGAACCAGCGGAGATGGTAGCCCCACACTCAAAAGCATAGAAACAGACTTCGACCCGCGCCTATCCTCTTGCATTCCTATCTCTGAAACTTGTCACAGGAGATCTTAGTTCCGACCGGAGACTCCACCCCAACTTTCCCAAAAATCCTTGACACACCCCTTTTTCGCACTTCCAGGCCCACTCACACTCCGATCAGGAAGTCACGTCGGGCGTGAGGTTGGTATCGCAGCCGATACGTGGCAGGCCTAGAGATTGCCAGTCAGGTAGGATACAAGGGACGACGTGGCGAACAAGGGGTGTCCTGGGCAGAGGAACGCACCACGACGCGACCTTATAGTAATCGGAAGTAGATCGGCAAGTTAGCAGGCCGCCAATATGAATGCCAATCAGGCACCGAATGTGGGAGGGGCCCCAACCCCTCGAGCACGAGCGCCAACGACCCCGCCCGATCTATACCTCTTTGATCATGTGCATCGTCTGTCCGGAGCATGGCTAACCACACTATACGCACAGCAATACAACAATAACGAAGCTAGGATCAACATCCCTGCTAGATTAGGAGGGGATTACCACTTATGTATGGG